CCAGTTGCATAAGACACGCTCGGTTGTGCAACCCTCTAGAAAATGCTGGTTTGGGATTAAGAGGTTTATTACAGGATTTCTAAATGAGCGCAGAGGGAGGATTTGGGAAATCTCAATAGCGGTAGCTTTGCTAGAAGACATATGAAGAGGATCACAAGCCCATTGTTGTGTACGTGTGTGCGCGTGCGTCTGTGCGTGCGCTCTAAGCGCGACTGAGGGGAATCCCATCTAAAAGCTTTAGTCCTCTTGGTTACTGCACAATCTGAAACCCTGAGCGGTATCCCGTTGGAGCTCATAGTATTTACAGGTCAAATTTTGCAAGGTCATGACAAAGCAGCCGCTGCTGAAATAACCTGCAAAAGACAAGAGGACTAAAACATAGACATAGAGAGGGCACACTGAAGGACTGGTTTAGGTGGCTCAATTTGGCCTTCAAGAGGATGATGTAATAGAGATTACAAGGAATTTGTGATTGATGTAATATTGAATCAAATATTCCCGCAATAGTATAGTTGCATGTTAAAAACATCTACCATACTTTAACCTAGCTTCAGAAAAGGTATTAGTACTATGCTCTTGGTGCACATTTGATCGCAACATTCTGCTGTAGAGACTGTAATTCAATATTGGAATAAAAGGAACAGCACCAAGCTGGTTTAAGTCACGTCTTTTTATGTACTCTATGCATGCTCCCTAAGGGGCAGTACTATTAGAAAACTGTAAGCTATGCAGATGATATCCAGCTATCGATCCGTCTATGAAGCCAGAGATGATTATGCCCGCTCCAAAAAAACTCAAAGCAAAATATTAAATAAAATTAAGAACTAAATAACTTAAAAAACAACAACAACCATAAGCAACATTGTTTCTAACAATATGTTGATGACAGGATGGCATTACCTTGGGTCTCCAGTACTACTGTGAGGAAGTTTGGAGAAAGTTTATGTGTCCATGAACCCTAACATACTCTAACATGAAGACATGAACATTAAAAATGTGCATTAATTACTTTGAGGCTGGTTTTAATGGGTTTCCTTATCCGGTCGTTAAGTCTGACGTCACTAGCCGTGTCTGGGCCTAAACTCCGCTGCAGGTCCATATATCAAACGATCACTATGGCATTACTGAGAGTTGAAAAACTGTCTAAAGTCTTTCATCTTTAATAAAATGATCAGCGTTCTGCTCTACCAGGTGTAACAATTGAGTTTAACATCCAGGCATCCATGAAAACGGAGTTTATGACATTTTACGGAGTTAGAAGTTAGCAGGGAGTTAGCTCGTTAGTTTCTATCTAAATACAACATAGCATGTCCTGACTGCGGGGTTTTGGAAACAAATTAAAACGTACAGCTCTGTTATCACTTCCAGCATAAATGAAGACAGAAAACTAAACAGCAGTGACATTTGCAGGGTTACTGAAGTTTGGCTAGCTGGTATATAATGATGTGCTACGTGACCGCTAGCGACACAGTTATGTTAGCATAATATAAACAAGCTAACTTTTTTTCCACTCGATAAAAGTTAATGTGAGTGTTCTCGGTGGTCAGGAACAAATGTAATCGCATGGCAGGATGCTGTAAAAGGACCAAACTTCAGCCAGGAGAACAACTGAGATAATCCATCCACAATACTGCTGCATGGGCTGGGCTGTAGTTACATCCTAAGGTTTTAAAAACTGAGCTTAAATAAATGATTAGCGGTAATAAAAGCCGAGGGAGGTCAACAGTGATCACTGACTGTTTTAGGAGCTTTTTGAGATTAAATAGAAGAAAATACAAAACATTAAACATGTTAACAACACAAAAGCCATATTAAACGCAGACTACTTTAGGCCCGGAAGTAGGATTCGTCATGTCATCACTTAACGACCGGATTATCTGACTGTCCAAGTATCTGATCCAGGGTGGTGCAGTTAAGCAAATTCTAAATCTTACTCCCTGAATACAAATCTCCAGTCACTCCTGCTTGTGTTTCCTTAAGAGGTAGTCTTAAGAGGCAGACTTCAGCTATCAGGCTCCTCTCCTGTGGAGCCAGCTCCCACTTTGGATTCAGGAGACAGACAGTCCCTGTACTTTTAAATTCAAATTTAAAACTTTTCTTTTTTTAAAGGTGACAGAGTTAGCTTATATGATCTTGAGCTATCCCACACTTTTCAGTTGTCTGTCTACTACTTTGAGGTAAGTCACGCTGACCTGAAAATCGATAACATATCACTCCTTGTCAAACATTCTCCTTGTGTCCATGTGCTGTCATGTGTTCTGTCCGATGAGCCCAGGGAATGTCCTTCTTAGACGATGCCTACATACAATGTCCAAAGTATTTCCCAAAACATCATATGTAGTTTACCTGTGCTCAGAACAACCAACATATTGGAATACAATACTTGTAAAACAGGTGAAGCATTATGTGGATCCAAGAAATTGTCCTGTAGTGATAATCTACTGTGATATTCCAGTATGTATTACTGTTAACTTGTGATAACTTTGAATGCACCACTACTAATTACCAAATTACATGGCGACATCAACAGTTCATTTCTGATATCTCATTTAAAAGTGTAGACCTGGGCTAGCAAGGTTAACAAGGTGCATTCATAATTCACTTTGATATTACATGCTAACTTAGGTTAGCAAAAAAGACACGCTTTACTTACTAAAGAAATCGAACAGCTCACTCTGGCTAGTACAATCAAAAGGCAAAGAAGACAAAAAGCACCTGGCCACAAACCCTATCCAATGCACAAAATCTAAAGTAATTAAATTAATGAACTCTGCAGAGAATAAATCTGTACCTGGCTGTAAAAATGTTTGTTTCAGCTCCAAAGATTCTCATTTTAAAATTGGAGTACATTAGGATTGACCCACTTTTGGAGCCACCCCTAGTGGTCATTTGAAGAACTACACCTTTAGGCACTTCCATATTGCCCCCCCCCAACGATGTAGGTTGCTGCTTCCATAAAAGTAAAAGTAATTATTTGTTCAAATAGCAATCTAAAATTTTGCATAGCAGACGGATAAGTGGTGCAAAGCTGTATTTTAATCAGTAGGCTTGTCTTGCTAATTAGGCTTTATTTCATATAATCTGATTAGTGATGCAGAATACTACAGAAAGCTCTAGACAACTCAAACTCTAAGTATACCCTTTCATGTAAAGTCTGCACAAAATACTCTTGAACTACATATGGAAAATCCCGTGCCTCACACATTTGCCTACACAAATGTGAAGGTAATCTAAACATCTACTGTCTTTCTTTGTCTTTTGTTGAAGCTAAAACCACACAAGCAAAGCTGCAGGCCAACCAGGGCAGAACTCTAGTGAAGACAGAGCTACTGCGATCCTCACTGGGCTCATTGGTAGTCTGACAGCAGCCATTGAAAGCACTTGTGATTACTTCCCCGTAATCTATGGTCTTATCTGAGGGGCCAGAGGTCAGTTAACTCCTGTTTCTCTCTCAGTTTCTATCCATTTCACTCTTCGCTCCTTTCAAAGCTCTCTTCTTTTTTTCTCATTTGAACTCAAACAGTGGAAAGAGGACGGTCAAAGCGGTCTGTTAGCTCAAGATCACTTCATCACACAATTGCTCAAACAGTGGGATAACTTCATACAAGAGGCCCCTCTGGGATTCTGTTACTTCGAAAAGACCAGGAGAATCTCAAAGACTGACATCAAAGACTATGCAAAGGTTAGTATCCTGAACTGTATTTTAAGGATTTATGGAAAGTGCCTATTTTCAAAAGTAAGGTGTCTGAAGTTGCTGTACTCAAGATTTATTTTACATATTGACTCGTTTAAGACATCAGCCTTATTGTGGGTTCACAGGGGGCAAACGCAGAGCAATGTATCTACAATAGATGAACAGTATCCGAAAGTCATGAACCCAAGAAATGAAGCCTTATTAGAACGGTCTCGGTGGATAGCCGTCCGAAAGCCGTTCTTAAAGAAGGGAAACAAACAGAAAAGTTTGACAAATGACATTTTTGGTTCAAATCATTATCAATATGGAGGTCAGAAGAGTGGTACAACAGTGAGTGTCATTTGTAAAGGAGGCTCTGTCATGGCTTGGTGCTGACATTTAAGCCAGCTGTGTTGGCGATCTTATCATCGCTGATGAACACAAGTACCATGGGATTTTGATCCACCATGCAATGCCATTTGGAAAGTGTCACTTTCCAGCATCACAACGACCCACACTGCATTAAAAGCATACCTAGATAGAAAACAACACAGTGGAAAACTATTCATGGACTGGCCTCCCCAGCATTACTGAAGGAGTGTGGGATCATCTCGACAGAGAGAAAACCAAATAGCAGCAGAACTCCAAGAAGCCTGGGGAGCTCATTTTAACTTCTAGATCCAGTATCCACCATGTTTCAGTGTTTGTTTGTTTATTCCATGGCAGAGCAGATAGAGATTTGAAATATCAGGTAGACCTTGGCAAACAGGTCTGTAAATATGCCAGCAATTTCTTTATAAGTGTGCTTGAAGAAGCTAAGTGATTTTTTTTATAAAGAAAAAGGAGGAAGCTTTTGTTATTGGTGACTTTTACACCCCTTAAAACCTGTCACGTCTGGCAGCAGAATTAGAATGCGATGTTGTGCCGGAAAATTTAGATTTTCCAAGCATATAAATAATCTATAGGCTCCTCTTGTCCCTGTGTTTCCTTTTTCTGTTAATTTATCCATTGCTATTAGTGTCATTTTGGTTATTACAGTAAATGTATAGTATCAGCTGGCAGGCAGGGCAAAAAGGAATAGGGCCAAAACAGGATTTATATTATATTGTTACTAGTGTTGATTTGAAGAAAGTTTAACAGGAGAAACTAACAATAAACTTTTAAAAAATATTAAAAACAACACTGAAGATATTTCCTATATATGACTCAATAGAAAAGATGATATTGCTGCAGTAGCGGGTTGATTTACAGCGATTAAGTGCATTATAAGGAGGCCATTGTTTAGCCACCTGTTCTATAATTTATCAGGATGTGAGAGAGGCAGCCACAGGGCGGTGGTAAGGAGAAGTCGCGGTGTTTCCGCTCGCGTCCCGTTTGTGAAGCTTTGCTGTGAAGCGTCAGCCCCCGGCGGCGGCGGCCCCTTTAAGAAAGAAGCGCCGCACACTGACGAAATTTCCCCGGCCCTGCTCTCTCTGCCAGTCTGTGTAGATCGACAACAGATCGGAGCAGCGCCGGTATCTGCAAGCTCCGGGCCAACGGCGCTGGTCAGGAAAGCTCTCTCCAGGGAGGAGGGGGGACACGCAACTGGTATTTTTTTCCCACTGTCTGCCTGCCTGACCGCTCAGCTCTCAGCAGGAGACGACATTTAGTCGGCTTTCAGAAATTAGCGGATGTATCGTCGGGATGGATGGACGGAGTGAGCGGCATTCGCCGTGAGACTGGCGCTAATTTGACGTCCTGAGCAGCAGGTGTACAGAAGGATAAAGCAGACTAAAAGGCAATCTCAGTGTTCATGAAACTTTGCTACGATTTACGTGCTGGGTAAGAAACGCTTATTTTATTTGTGAAACACAATAAATGGCTGTCGTTCTGGAGGGGAGGGAGAAAAATGAGGGGTATTATTTTATGACACCCAAGCTGTCCCAGCGTCTCTTCGGGGTCACCCAAAATGCGGATTATTTTGGTTTTCTTTTTATCTTTCCTGAGACTCGAGGCCTAAGTTCAACCCCCACCGTTTGAAATTAGTCGCCCTTAACAGATAAAAGTATAACGGACGCATTTGTTGTATCGTGTTAGTTAGTTTGGCCTAACTGTGCCAGAGTCTGACGGCTTTTGATGCTGTTTAAAAGAGAGAGAGAGGAAAAACACGCTTCTTCTCATTTCCTGGCCCAGTGTAACAGTGAATTTTTAAAATCAACTTCTAGTCTCAACCGAAACACTCAAAAGCACTTAAAAACAAACAAATGTTAGCGTAATATTTTACATATTTTCATGTTTTGTACCTCGGTTGCACCCCCAGAAAGATAAAGTGCTCGTGTGGTGTGTTCACTTACAGTCGGAACCTCTGACCTCTAAAAGGTGCTGTCAAACTGGATTTTTGATTAAACCAGTTGGTACAGGGCTTTAGTTTTTTTGTCGCCATACAGAGTTCAAATGTGATTACTATTTGATCAGAATCACGTTTTAACATCCTATGGAGGAGAGTGACCAGTTGTTGAGGAAGAATCTATTGTTTATATCCTTGATTATGTAACTGCAAGGTGAAATAATAGCGCTGATGCTGCATGGCCAGAGGGCTGGAGGGCAGGAAGGAGTGTGTAATTTCCATGCTGTTGGCTGTTACATCATGTGCTGATCGTGACTGTTTGAGTAAACCTCACTTCAGCAGCCCCGCTCAATAATGCAGGAATTCATATTAACAGAAGTATTTCCTCATGAGTCATTTGTTTTTGGGTTTGAGTTTGCATATCAGTGGTACATCACACGGCATGCATGACCCTGAGTGGCAGCATTCAGATGCTGCACTGCCCAAACAATAACCCTTGACATGATGTTAGGGGGGGAAAAAAGCCTGCCTTTTTATTTTCGTTGAGCAAAAACCCCACTTTGCCTAAAGGGTTGCATTAGTGGGTTAGATAAAAGCTGGCGTATCCTTGTCCCCACCATTATTCTTCTGTCAGTATTTGTTCGCTGGGGGCTGTGCTTGTGCTTGAAACCTTTGTTTTGCTTTCAACTATAAACAGAGCCGGATGTGTCTAATAGGTCTTGTTAAAGTTCATCATATCTGCGCTCTCCTCCTGCCTTCCTGCTCCCTCCCGAGGGTTGACATCAAATGAAAAGGCTGGGCTCAATAGAAGCATTCACAGTGACGATATGATATGTATGGAGATAGATTTTGTCTTTAATCAGAGGCGTGATGCCTATATGCTGATATGGAAACTTGCGATATCTCTGCGCTGTTACAGTGCCATTGTTTGTTTTAGTTATTATTCTGCTTGTCAGCAGCCTGATGCTGTTCATCTCTTCTGACCATCTGTCGCCCTTCACCTGATTATTAATGCAGGAAAGTGAACAAAAGTTGCAGCTGCCCATTGGAACATTCTGGCTGTTGCCTGTAGATGAGTTATTTAAAGGTCATGTCCCTCCCTCCCTGTCTCTGAGTGTCTTATGAAACTCATACAAGTTGAGAATAGCTCCACGGGTGAGTGTCTTGCTTTATTCAGCCTTGTTTCTACAGAAACTAAGCACCACGGATGATGATGAGGATGACGATGAAAGCAGGATGTCCCTACATGGGTTTATACACCACGTTCAGTGAAGGCACCTGTAACGGGAAGCTAGTTCTAAAGCATCAGTCACCGAAATGGAAACACCGCACTGTGGCAGGTCTTTGTTTTCTTTTTAAACAAGCCTTTATTATCAGACCTGACTGCTAATGTCCCAGAAAATATACAGACAGTGGCCCTCATGTGTAAGCGCTCAAGCTTTATTGGGCACCCTTTCATGTATGGTTGATGGACACCAGTGATATAGTTATGACTGAAATTAAACTAAGAACCATTTCATGATGTTTAGACATAAAACCATGTAATGAGTCTCTCTCATGATAATGCGTTATCATGGCTACAAAGACAAATGTTTAACTTAAGAGGTTACTATGCCTCCTGATGAGTGCATTATGTTGATTTCATAGGGCTCCTCAGCTAGTTGCTTTGCAGGATTTTATGAGCACGTCTATGAAGCTGTTAATAATCCAGAGCAATAATGTGATTAGTTTGCACTTTTATTGGGGATTTTGTTACTGCAAAAGTGTATAAGTTACGGTTTTCACCTTGTGAATGTGTGTGCGTCGTCTTGTCAGAGTGCGGTCTTGACGACACTTTGTGTAGCAGCAGCTACTAGAAATGTGCTTTTGAGTGCTTCGCCAGATCTGTCTGTGGCAGATTCTTGTCAGCATAATTTCTGGCGTAACTTTAAGTTACGTGTCTGCAGGTTTCAGTGCACTTAGTTGCTGGCACGTGATTGGCTGATTGGATATTTGGGATAACAAGCAGTTGAACAGGTGTATTTAATGAAGTGGCCTGTGAGTGTTTGTAAAATTTTCAGAGGGAGGCAGTGCTGTTTCACCATGCATAGACTTTACTTTGGCGGGCTGCCCAGGTATGTGGACAACAAATATATTTGGCTACATTGCTATATTGTATCATTTATCTTTTCATCCAACAGCGCCATCTGCAGTTTACTAATAAACACTTCCTTTGTTTACAGTGAATAATTCTATTCATTTCTATTAGTACTGCTCACTTAGCCCTGACCCTTCCTTAACCCTCCGAGGGTTAATATTAAGGCTAAAGTAAATACTAAGTATTATTAGTTTTAATCCACTGAAACAAAAATATTTCACAGCTTGTGCCTCGAATGTTTTGATCACAAGTTGGTGTTTTGATTAATATTAAAAGGAATAGCACATTCATTGTTATGCAGATGATACCCAGCTTTATCTGTCATTGAAGCCAGACATAGACCAATTAGTTAAACTGCACGAGTGTCTTAAAGACAAAGGTCTGGGTCACCTCTATCAGGTGACATTGAACCCGCCCGTAGTTACAGCTCAATAGGCTGCTCAGGGCTTCCCATGATGCACTGTTTCTTCTTCATTCACCCCTTTTCAACATCTGTGTGTATACTTTGCACTAGGGCTGGGCCATATCATACCTTTCACAGTAATACCGGTATAATGTTGGGCAACGATAAGAAAATGAAATATCGCGATAGAATATGGGTAAAATGCACATGCGCAGTGCCTTTGTTTTCATACGCTCATGGCGGCGACGGAGAATGAGAAGGGCGAAAGCGGATCGTTGAATGAAACAGATGAACCAGAATTGGTTTGTAAAAATGCTGCAACTTCAGTGGTGTGGAACTGGTTTAGCTTTCGTCCGTCAGATACACAACAAAGCACATTTTTTGGTAGCGCATGCTAGCGGGCCGTCGTTATTACCGTGTTTTTTGGAAAATACGGCACATTTAAAATCAATCCTTTGATTTTTCTGAAAATCGACAGGGCCCCTTATAATCCCGTGTGCCTTATGTAGGAATTCTGGTTGTGTTTACTGACCTCGAAATGATTTTATGTACACGGCGCTCGAAAATCTGTCAAATGTTTTGGTACGACTTTGCTAAGCTACGAAGCTGCACCGCTTGATGGATTGTCGGAGTTTTCCGGCTATCGTAAGCAGGAGGCCTCTGCTCTCGCCTCCTTCCCCTAACCCCCAATTGGTCGCAGATGGCTGCCCCTCCCTAAGCTTGATTCTGGTGGAGGTTTCTTCCTGTTTAAAGGGGAGTTTGTCTTTCCCACTGTCGCCAAGTGCTTGCTAGGGGGTTGTCTGGTTATTGGGGTTTTCTCTGTATTATTGTAAGGTCTTTACCTTACAGTATTAAGCCCCTGGAGGCTCCTGTTGTCATTGTGATTTGGTGCTATATAAATAAAACTTAACTGAGTGCTTTTGAGATGTGTAAAATGTCAGTTTTAGTTTTAGTTTCACCTCCATGGGAAACCACAAGTTGCAGAAATAACTCTTGAGTAAGTCGACTAAAGGGCATAAGACTGCCTGCAAAAGCATGACCATGTCTGGCTGTTGTAGCGAGCGTGACCCACATGACCACGAGTAACTTCAGGCTATTAAGGTCATTAGCAGGCGATATCCCAAGAAGACACAGACATGTATACACACACACAGTGTATTAGGCCTTAATACACCAGGCTTGTAAAGCTCCTCACCTTTAACTAAGGCATACAATAATAAACCATTTCAGCCATTGTAATTTTGTTTTATGTGCATATGTGTGTTTGTGCATCTCTCTGCTGCTCTGTTGTTTGGTTTTATGTCAGCAGCAGGCTCTCTCCCCTGGCTGGTGTGTTCACGGTGACTTATGATTAGGTAAAGGTGGGCCGAGGTGTCTTTGTGTTTGTACATAGCCGAGCAAATGACTCATGAGGGCTGTTTGTGTGTATACCCACAGTAACAGTCGCAGCGATCAGACCTTGAGCTAAAGCCCCTTCCTCCTCCTCCTCCACTTCTTCCTCCTCCTCCTTCTGTCCTCTCTTTTCATCTTTTCATCCTCCTATTTAAGCTGCTGTGGTTGAGGCTGCTCCTGGACCAGAGAAAGAGAACCTTTTAAAAAGGAAATAAGTAAACAGGAGGTAGCCTGAAGAACACTCCGGTGAAAGGAGGCAAAGAATAGCATGGGAACACGCAATGTGCGCTTGAATAGGAGCTTGCCTTGAGACTCAATGCTGCGTCATTCGCTGACATTTTTCTGACTGAAAATGTCAGTTTCTGGGGTTGTATCCAAATGTGCCTCTATTTTCTTTTCCAGCAGGCACTATTGATTTATTTATTTATTGATTGTGTTGTATTATAGGTAATCAACAGCCTGGTTGAGCTGACTATAGGGACCGTCTGAGCTGATCCACCGAGCATGCTGTGAGTGGATTCGGGTGGTTACTGCGAGAACAGATTCTAGCGTGACAGGTGTCTAGGCAAGTGGAGGGAAGTGTTTATTAACCTGCCACTCAGCAGGTTTCCATTCACCCCTTGGAGGGGCGCGGGGATAAACCCACCAGTCACGTTTGTAATTTCCACTCACATGTGCCCATGTGGCCTGTTTCTTGTCTTTAATTCACCGCTAGACTTGCTGCCTCAGTGCCAGTCTAATTGTCATTTGTTTGATTACGTCTTTGCCTTGTCTTATTTCCTCTTAGACACGAGGAGTGATGTGTAGTCTAGTCTGTTAGTGCGGCTCTCCACTGAAGTGTTTAGACTTTTATGAAGTTTGTGCTTCAATCTAATGAGCTTCAAACGAGTCCCCTTTATGCGGGCTCAGAGGAGTTACCCACTGTAGCAAATTATAATTCCTAACACGCTGTTTAAAGGCCTTTGAATGTTCTTCATAATGGCAGGTCTGATCAATTTGTTGCTTGTGCAGGGATCGGCTGCTGAGGATTGATGAAATAAGAGTTTTTACAGTATTTGCAATAAGAAAGAAGTGATTCAATCTTTAGGCATAACAAACAAATGGGCAGTTAATAAGAAAAGCAGGTTGGTAGCCAAGGCTGCCACTCCTGAGCTCTTAGAAAAGAAAGTTGGACTAGTCCTGAGTCTGACAACAAGTCAGTATGGTAGAAAGCTTTACGGCTGTCCAGCCATTCACAAAGCAAAGTCTTGACAGGAGTCCAGTCAGATAAACTCTGCGTCATGTTGTTGTATGGCAGGCATTCGGTCAAGCTGATTAGGTCTCGGGAGGATTAAATCCAGAACGACTACTACCCATCACAGCCATGTTTATTGTATATTCTGGGGTCTGTACTCAGCTGCAAAAACTGATCGTGGTTTCCACCGACAATAAGGGATTTTTTTTTCTTTTTAAATATTTATTTTTAAGAGGCTTTCCTTAGGGATGCACCAGTGTTTTTTTTTTTTTTTTTTTTTTTTTTCTAGCTCTAATATGATAACGATAGCTTAGCTTCAGGTGTCTGCCAAAAAGAACAACTAAAATGTAATATAATAATCAATAAATCCAAATATATCAGTTTACTTAATTAATATTGATAAGATGCAGGTGAAGAGCTGAGCATATTGAGACGTTGCAGAGCAGGTGCACTAAAAGCTTTGGGTGAGAGCGACAGAATGAAGCTGTCTGATCGTGTCTTTGATGTTAACTGACACAGTTTGTGCACGCCACAATGTTAATGTTAGACTGTTAGTGGTTGTGGTTACATACTTTCATACCTTTCATTATCTCGTAACAATAACAGTTTTATTTATATAACAGATTTCATTAGATGAAAACTAAATGTGCTTAACATAGAAAATGAAAAAACTGCGTAGGTTTACGTTGCTTTAAGGCAGTGAAAACAGCAAAACGGAATAAAACAAAACAGCAAAACTTATTAATTGTAGGCCTGTGTGGTTTTGAGTCTGTTTTTGAATGTAAACACAGACGTAATTGATCTCGAGTGAGCAGGTTGGTTGTTCCAGAGAACAGGACCACATTAACTGAAAGCACCTTCAGCAAACTTGGATATGATTCTGGGTATAGTTAAAGATCTGAACCTGATGACCTGAGAGGTCTGACTGGGTTGTAGGCAATCATAAGGTTGTTTACCGTGCTGATAAGAAATGTTAGTGTAGCCATAAAAAAAACCCCTGTTTGTTAAAGGACAGTTGATCCAGCTGTCTACTTGATTACAGGAGTAATTGAAGCTGTTGAGGTAAATGGTAAATGGCCTGTATTTGTATAGCGCTTTACTAGTCCCTAAGGACCCCAAAGCGCTTTACATATCCAGTCACACACACATTCACACACTGGTGATGGCAAGCTACATTGTAGCCACAGCCGCCCTGGGGCGCACTGACAGAGGCGAGGCTGCCGGACACCGGCGCCACCGGGCCCTCTGACCACCACGAGTAGGCAACAGGTGAAGTGTCTTGCCCAAGGACACAACGACCAAGACTGTCGGAGCCGGGGCTCGAACCGGCAACCTTCTGATTATAAGACAAACTGCCAACTCTTGAGCCAGGATTGCCCACATGTCTCCATGTGTCTCACTAAACGTGTCATCATCATCCATAGGTTTCATTTTTTTATAAGTCAGCTACATATGTGCTAAAGTTAGCTGCAGGTCCTAATTTAGCTTTCAGCCGATCTGATACAGTACACTCTTCAGCTTTTGACATATTTTGTTTTTGAGTAGGTGTACTGATTATTTTAGTGTGAATCAGTACTCGTTAGTACCAACATAACTCGTTGATAGTACAGAGTGTGGTACCCATCCATAGTGTTGTCATGTTTCTGTTGTCCTGTTAGGATTTAAAGTAGACACATGCTGTTGCTTACACTAGTTAACAATGCGGAGCTACAGTGGGCTAAAAGTTTGGGATAGTATAATTTTAGACTTGGACAATCTTTGCACCATTTTTAACTGTTTACCATTCGTTTTGATATCTGTCCCTTACATTCACTTGTTAGGCTGCGGTAGGCTAGATCCTTGTTCGCAGCCAGCAGGCCAAACAGCCTTTTCTGGAAGAAACACTGAGTGCGTGATAGTTGCAGTGAGTCACAGCTAGAGCCTGGCCAGGATAACAGTCAGTTGATAATATTGCAGCACATGTAGCCAAGTAACGTGTTCATCTGAAGTTGCCAGTTAGATTGTGAAATGCATTGCTGGAAAACGAATAAAAATCAACCCACGATTCTTTCTTTTCAGTGACATTTATATTCGTGCACTCATTAAACGCCTGTGTCGGCACTGGTCTCAAGAATTCGCGATCTGCCGGACTGTGCTCGCTACAGTTGGTCAAATCACCTTTAGTTAGCGCTTCTCTGTCACGCGCCATAAAGGAACAGGAAGCTAGAAACAACATAAAGCTGAAAGAAATGTGTTGGTTTTGCTAATTGAGATCAAAACACTACAATAACACAACATTTTATATTTTTATTAATATTTCTATTTTCTGTCTATTAGTCATTTCATACACAGACCAGTTTAGAAACCATGAGTCCTGATCACATACTTCTGGATGGCACTATTGATGTGAAACAGCAGCCTTGACAGCACTGTGATGTGTTTGCCAGAAACAGTTTAGCACCTGTTGTGCTTTGAAGCTGGTTCCTGTTAAACTATCATGACCTGTTTCGCACATTGCTGGTAGATGACTTTGTAAATCCTGTCTGTATTTCGTTACTTTCATAAGGGTCAAGTTTACTGCAGTGGATGATGACTCAAACAGCCCCCAGTCTTCATTAAATGTCAACCCTTGACACGAAAACGCAACCATTAAGCCTTTAACAGCCTCCCACAGTCCCTCTCGACCAGCACCACCTTTCCAGCTATTGATGTGAATTAAATCTGCTGTTTGCTGGAGGAGTGACAGGATACGGTGGCCCCATATTCCTGTGTAGACTAAAAAGAGGAGGAAAATCCAAACACTGGCAAATTTGGAGCCTGAACATGCAGTCCAAGACTGTAGTATGTGTTGGTATGTGAGAAAATGGATCAAGCACCGCCTTACAGGAAGAGAAGCGTGACACGTTACATTTCTTAGATTTAAGATTAAGGTTTTATGTTACAATCAGTGAATATTTTTTAACTAATAATTGAATCCCTTCCTCTGTATGTGCATCAAATTAATTCAGTAAAATATAAACCAAACTATTCTGTAAACAATAATCTGTATATAACGATGAAGAAAAACATGTTTACATGAACTGCAGTGGGTCTGTGAGTTTTGTAAACAACAGGGGAGTAAAGACATTGTTTTCCTCTCAGTGTTAATGACTCGTCCTTTACTGCCTGTTCAGCAGCCCGTGTATTTTGCGCCTGCAGGGTTGCCGTCCGCCATGTTAAGGTAAAGCCCAGGTGTGCGGTGTTGACCATGCTAAAGCGCCTGGACAAGATCCGCTTCCGAGGCCCCAGGACGAGAGACGAATTCCCGGATCTGGCCGAGTCGCCACCTGCCTCTGACAACGAATGTAGCGACGACATGCAGCTGAAGCCGAGAGCAGCTCTGCGTGACACAGAGGACGTCCTGCGAGAACCCGTGAGTGCTCATCATTTTGTTTTCTTCTTTTGTGTTTGTTTGGTTTTTTTGTCCTGTGATGGAAAGGTAAACACACATGGGAGGATTTAGGGTTTTGTTTTTTTTTGTTTTTTGGGGTTGTTTTGTGACTCATCCATTAGTCCTTCTAAAAAGGGTGTGATGCTAAATCACTGAAGTTGGTGTTTCCTCAACAGAAAAAAGGGGGGAGACAAGCAGGGGATTTTGCTTTACCTTTATCATGCTGGTTTGAATTTCTTCTCCAGTTTAAGGAGCGCTGCAGCTGAAAAACAAAACCATGTTGCTCTTTTTAAAAGTCCCCTTCTTTCTGCTTATCTGAAGAGGAATGAAAAAGGGAGGGCTCATCATGAAAAGAAAAATGGAGGAGATGGCGGCAGTGAGGTTTTTCTAATAGTGGACATAAGATATAGATAGCCATCAGCATGAGTCAAGAGCCTAAATACTGGAAGCATTTGTGAGAAGTAGAGAATGAAAAATGGTGGGAGAGAAAAGATTTAAGCGGGGAAAGTGATGGAGGAGGCGAGAGGACAGGAAGTTGGCCTCAGAAGATTGGACTCCAAGATGTCTAGAGGGGAGGGCATGGACAAGATCCAGAGGAAACTGTAAGAAGACTAAACTTTGTGACAAAATAAAAAAAAAAACACCATGTTTTCTGATATTTCTTCCCCCCACGCTGGATGCTGTTCTGAAATCTGAAGCTTTCTTCTGCCCTCAGTGGTGACTAAAAACGGCATTGTCGTCATTGCCGTGCACACTGATAGATAATTAAATGCACCAGATTAGTCACTTGATCGTATCATTTCCTGAATAAATGCTCAGGAGATCTCTGTCCCCTTTCATTGTTTGTTTTTTTTTTTTCTGTCTTCTTCTGTGTCTCTGTTCAGAGAGAGAGTTTAGGTAACTGTTGCTCATGAGGCCTTTCTTTGAGTTTTCCTGCACAAACTTGCACAAATCAAATGAGTGATCTAGCCGTGAATTCCCTTTTGAGCATACTTTATAGGCATGTGCAACGTGTCTGTATTTTCATGTGTTTGTTTTCACATGTGCACCTGTGCTAGGATATAATTTTTCTGTCTCTGGTGTTTGCCTGTGTGCATTCCAGCCCACTGAGAAGGCATCACCCACATTACAACACTGATGACTCACACTCTGAAGCCCTAAAATAGACCAAGCTTGCTCTCATCCCTGCTGGGATGCACACATGAGGCATGCACTTTCTCCCACATTCCCTTGTGTATCTTATAGCCTAAACGGCATGGTGGATATCTCACCTTTAGTCCACAGTACCCTTAAGAGGTCCTTATTGTCACACTGGAGCCCACCCTGGTGGCACAACTGATGTGTGCTTTTTGCCCTTCAGGATTGGGTCATATGGCCTAAGTGGAAACCTAATTTCATTGCCTCATCTGTTTAAAAAGAGCGTGCCCTTGGGTTGCTGAATATATACACCGATACTTCTTGACAAACTAGCTTGTGTCATCCATATTAAATAGGCAGGATGTCATTGGGCAGATGGCGCTCAGTCATTGAACAGACGAGCGCGTGCGACCTCACCGGCCTCACTTTACCTGCTGGATCAGGCAGCTTGATCACCGCAAATGTTGGACTTTCAGTGTAGCCATTATCTATTGTAATGGTCTCTTTCACCCAAGGCAATGACCAAAATGTAATGTTAATATTCAAATGTGAAAAACTAGACCTGAATTATGTATTCCTGCCATTACGTAGCACATTTTCTCTCATTCTGAAGCAGGATATTGTGGTTATAAAGAAATAACCAAACTAATGAAGCATTGCTTCTGCCGCCAGCCATGCGGAGCATTAATCACCTAAAAAGGACTGACTATAACAAGTCACCCCATGAATTAAAACGAGCTCTACAAATTGAATCAATTGTACTGACTTAAAATACTAAAAGTACCCAATAGGAATAATGTAAAAATCAAATTATAAATGTATTTATTAAGCACATTAAATGACCAAAGTGCTGAAAAAAGGCACAGTGGATAAAATAAACAAGTGAATAGATTTGAAATAAGTAAAGTACATGCTAGCAGGTGCTAAAAGTGTACAGTTGTAGTTGAAAAAGGCACAGGAGACACAGTGTGCAACTCGGTGTCAGAGGCCAATGAAGAAAAATGAGTTTTGTGGGTAGTTTTAGGACAAAATAGAAGGAGCAGGTTTGACAAAGAGGGCAAATGTGTCCTGGAGAAAACGCGGGACCATCCGAGCAGCTAAGTGTCAGCTGATTGGATCTCCATTTGTAGACATCAATATATTCAAATGTCTCCATTTCCTCCAGCTGCATGTGTGCATTTTAATTAGATGCATTTGTTCCTTTTAAGTTTTACATATTGTCATGCATTTAAAATACTTGACCAGCTGTTAGCGCTGAACAGCTTCGAACCTGCCATTCAATGCCAAAGCATATACTCACTAGACATGAGTACTTGAGCCTGTAATGATACCATCAGGATTTAAACTCAAGACTCTTATTTCTCTCTGTTTTTCATATTAAGGTCCAAAGATCAGTTTTGTAATGGCAGAAAAATCCAAAAGAGTTGAGCTCTGGGTTCCAGTCATCCTTTTGAAATGTCAACAGTAGCCAAACCTGATTTATATACTTTGTAAACACTGCAGAATACAACTGAGTGGGTTTAAATTTGTCATGTATGAGGAGCTGTGAGCACCCTTTAAGATGTTGCTGTGGCAAGCCGTGTCTTTTCTTAGTATACCTTCTAAGATGTATATTTTTAATCAGTTTTATTGGATTTTAAAGTGACTTTTCAAGCAACACCTCAGATACCTGAGACATTTTTTAGAAATCACATGGTTAACAGCAAATCTGCTTGGGAAGGGGGGAGGGTGGGTAGTTTCACTGGTAGAGAAACAAAAGTGAAAGTGAGAAGAGGCACAAATAATACTTGTGTGGCTTTACAGCTGCATGTTCGTTAACAAGGGCTGCTATACTTGCATGTGCCTGCTATTGTCTATTGTGGGTTTTGTTGTGTTTTTTTTTGCTGCTGCCAAATACATTTGTTAATTGTTTATCATTAGACTTGACAGATCAAAAATTACCACCAGCGGCCCGCTTGACCGCTGCTGTGTCAGACACAAAAAAGGTCTCTATTGATGTGCTCAGAAGCAGAGCAAAGCTTTGAAGTCTTCCTCTCTTATTATCACCTTCATCTGCGAGGCTCTCTTGTAGCCTCCTGAGAGAGTTAAAAATCAGGAGTAGAGTGAAGTCGGCACGTGAGATCCCAGGAGCTGCTCTCTTCTCAAATGACTCTGAATCGGGGAGGACTGGACATTTTCAGGGCGACTTGTCCCGTTACCTGAGCACTCCAGCGCAGGAGCCCAGCCCCTACATTAAAGCGCTAAGAGTAGTCTGCCTCTGTAATCTCTCCTCTGTACAAGAAAACTGTTGCTAACCAGGACATCTCTGCATTTGTCTTGTTCTGATGATATTCTCCTAGAGGCTTGAAGAAAATGGAAACGGAGGTGCTGTCAGACAGGAAGTGTTTGCATCGGCAGAGTTTAGCAGAGTAAGTCAGTCATAACTTGACACTTTAACCTGACTTGATTTAGACTTTCAAGTTTTTCCTCTTTAAGGTTGGCCACAAACCCAACTTCTAGTCACGAGCAGGCATAAAGTCTGTACAGCAGGTATCACTAAAAGAAAATGGATCGAGTTATATATCGATTTTTAAAAGCCGGCCTTCAAACAGGAAGGGCTGAAAGAGATATCGAGGAAGTGATTGAGAGGTTTCAGTTTGTGCAGGATTTTGAAGGAGCTGTCAATTTATGTTGGGCTTCTAGCCAACAGCTGGCAGCATCATCTCTTTCCAGGCTTTAAACAAGTAAAAGCAGCTGAATACTCCCCAAAAACATTATTATTATGTATACTTTTTAGGAGCTGACTACTGTTTGTTTCCCCCCCCCCCCCCCATTTTTCCACACCTCACTTTCTTAAAAAAAAATTAAAAAAAATACTGTGATCAGAACAATTACATATTTATATCCTGGTGTTTGTGGATGGAAGCGGCCGGTATAATCATGAAGCCTATAAAATAAGTGAAGTGAGAAATGGCTAACGTGAAGCAGAGAGGTGCAGAAACTACTGAGAGTTGTGGTTCAATAAACGGGACTGTCTGTGAAGAGCTAAAGAGCTCCAGGATGAAGTGGGTTAAATCTGCTCCTTGACTCGGATCACCCACACAGTTATCCAGTCACAGACAAAAAAGGTGCAAATCATGGAGACGCGCAGAAACCAGTTTCTTGAATCTTGCAGGACTGCACAATGGCAGCACATTTTTAAAACTCAGAGGTTTATGAAGGTGCTTTATATTGTAAGGTAAGAATCCTACAGTAATACTGCAAAAACCCACAAAATTAGAACAATGAGTAAAGGACAGTGGGAAGGAAAAACTCCCTTTTAACAGGAAGAAACCTCTGGCAGAACCGGGCTCGGGCAGGGCCAGCGGACTTGACTGGCAAAGGTGTGATGACTAAGCAGCAATAAGAAAAATTCAATTTTAGTCAGTTGAAGCTGATCACTATTCATAGCAGAAATCACTCAACAGTTGGATTTAAAATTAAAAATATGGGTGGAGTAAATGAGTTCAACAACATCTCTTAGCTTCTGTTTTATACCAGACAGACTGGATTAATATTGCATTTCAAATAGATTCCAGGGCGTGACCTTATGCAGTCTTTTGCTGAGGTTGCAGATAAATGGTTGAAGGCTGAGTGGGTGTGATGCAAAGTACAAGTTGATATTTATATAGCAGCCCTGTTGCTTGGAGAATTTCATTAGATGGAGGTGTTTCCTGTGATTTGCATACTTGTCACAGTTATATCTGTTCAGTTTTCTCAGCGTGCATTCTCAGAAGAGATTGAGAGTTTCTCTTTTTTTCCAAACGGAGGGTTTCCTAAACTCACATCACATGCTCAATAAAAGGAGAGAGGGGGAACACAATAATTAATTAGCCGATATTTGTCCAGGGTGACGTCAGCGTTTGACCTACTTTTGATAACCAGGACATTATGAGTGTGAGCGGGTGCCTGCTTAAAGCATCAGAGGCGTGTTTAAGTGATGCGTCCTCGTAGGACATAAAACAAAGCCGCCAAAATCCAAACTAAAGAGAATCGTTGCTCGCAATGCAGCAAAAAAACATCTGTTTGCCCCTCTGTCCTCTCCTCGCATTTCCTCCTCATCTTTCTTTCATGCCTCTTTTTTTGGCTCTCTTTCATCCTGCTGTCTTCATTTACTTCTCTGCCCTCTTTCACTTTCTCTCTTTCACTCAGCATCCCTCTTCTTCTTCGTGACACACTTCCAGGAGAGCCTCTCATTTGTTTTCTTTGAAGTGCTTCTGTATTCAGGGATGCGCTATCCATTGCGGCGTCGCTGTCTCACCAGCCTTCGGTGTCGTTAGACTTTGGCTCTCTCCCAAAGCACCTTTTTTTTTTTTTTTAGGTCAGCATCAGTTTTGTGCTATTGCGCTCTCGTCCTCTGTCTCCATTGCTTGAGATGTTGCAGTCTGTCTATGCAGGCACATGCAAGCCTCCCCGGTTGCTGTCAGGGAGAAGCTGCTGCAGTGTGTGTGCGTTAGTGTATGCGTCTGTTGTGTGGCGAGAGTCTCTTAAAGGACCCCCGCTATAGTCGAGCAGCGATGCTCAACCTGCAGTGCTCATCATGCACTAGCACAGCCGTCTCTCTCATCCTGTCCTCCTCCTTCATCACCCGCTCTCCCCTTTTTTTCCCTTACCCTTCTCATCCCGCTCCCTTCTCTCTCTCACACACAGTCATCAACTCTCAGTCGTTGCCATACATTTCGTCCACCTACTCTCCCTGTGTGTCAGGGTTGTATCCCTCAGTCATTGCTGTTTGAGTCATCAGTGTTGCTGTAGTCAGAAGAGGTGGGGGGGTTCTCCTCTTTTTCGCCTTCCTCCTGCTATCTCGCTCCTGCTGGACTCGAACCAGGAGAGGAAACATTGGTGTGAGTCACTGCACCAAGCTAATCTGTGTGTATTAGATCATATGGGATCTCCCTGCTTGTGCTCTCGTGTGGATTTTGTGTCGCGTGCATGGAAATAAGAATTCAAATCTGATTTTCTTTGTTGTTTCTCTGTTTTTGTTTGTGTTTGCCTGCGTGCCTGTGTATGTATGCATGAATGAATGTGTGTGTCTGTGTGCACAGGCTGGTTCGGGGTCTCCTACTATGGCTGCAGCCATACAGGACTTCCAGAGGTCAGAGTCAGAGCGGCTCAACGAAGTCAAGGGTCATTTGGAAATTGCCTTATTGGAGAAACATTTCCTACGTGAGTATGCACACACTGCACTTTTCTGGGCATTTATTTTCCAACTAAATATAATTGCTTAAGCTGCTTTTATTTACTGAAACTTTATTTGTGCTGCTTGCACTTAAAGCTGAGAAAAATCCAGTTTTTGAGGTGCCAGTGTAGGTATCAGCCAATCAAATATGTTTATTCAAATGCTCCAGTCTGCCTGTTAAGCCAAAAAAATCTCATGCATTTATTCAGAAAGAGCAAAGTGGCTGTCTGTTATAGTTCAGCATCAAAATGGAGAAGTTGATCACTGAAGTGGCTAATCAGCCTGTTCTAAATGAACGCATTTCCTAACAGGCAGCTAACTTGGCTGATAACTTTTAATTGAAGCTCAGCTACCTTGCTTTGTGATGGTTGGTTACTGTTGCTATGGTAGTCGCACCAGCAAAAATAGCCACACAAACATCCGTAACACCCACCATCGAGCAGCATATCTGAGTCCTGCCTCAGATTTTCTGAATTACCCAGAACTAGCGATGCAGCAGTTCAGTCGTTTCACTTCAGGTCTTATTTGATCTTATTTGTGCTTGTTAAGCATCTTTACTGTCGTTTACCGCCACACTAGTTTCTTCTTATTTGCTCTGCGTGTACCTTTTCACGTGAGGAGTGGATCTAACGATGAGAATGTTACTAGAGTTGACTCTGACTAAATAAAAGCGTCCCGATGACACAGAGAGGAGGACAAAGCAGCATCAGAGGAGGAACTTTTCATTCGTGTCATCTCATTTAAACCACAGTCTGTGGTTAGGTCACAGACTAGCGTGGAGCAGCTGGTGCACTGCTGCTGACACGTGGCACACGCAGACCAACAAAAAGTGGCTAAAGACACCAGCACCTTCGATTTGCCCGTTGTCAGCGATAGTTGATGTAGCTTTTTGAGTGACAATTTGGCCGATTGGGTCCAAATGTCGGATCTGTCCCATCCCATTCCCATTGTTTTATAGAAAACTTCATATTTGGCGAGACGATTGCAGCTGTAAGAGAACAAGTGAAAATGTCTGTTGCATTGTGTTGCACTGGTGATTTGGTGTTGTAGAGATATCGCCTCATGAATTCATCAGTTTCTTATCTAAATGGCCTTTTTTGTTTGTTTTTGGTGTGTTTGTACGGCAAATGTAGCAGGCAGCCTCTTATGCTGAAGAGATGGTTTTTGGTGTAAAGAGTCTAAGAACTCGTGCTGGCACTTAGTGATGTCTTATCATGCAACTCGACACAGAAATGTGCTAGTCGTGTTGTAGGAGAGATTTTAGAAGTGATACATGTTTCTTATTAAGAAGAATCACACATGTTGTAAGTTCTTGCAAAGTGACAAACGTAATCTGTGTCATCTTGTGATCTCACTGAATTTGCGGTTTAACTGTCTGAGACTGCAGTCGGCATGGTTTTATCCATTGCTCGCGGTTGTTGTGCACAACATTGTTATGTTGGGCTGCCAATCTGTTAGATTCAAGAAATGCTAATGAGTTGCTCAATTTAGAAGCTGAAATAGAAGCTCCTATCTGATAAGCAGTACTTGGTTTTACCAGAGGCTGTATCAGAATTTGGTGCCATGGTGACAGAGGCCACACCCATTGTCTCATACCCAAATGGAACAGATGATTGCTTTATCAGTGTTTTGTGTGATTGCCTGATATACATGGCTTTTTGTCTGTGTCTGTTTTCATTTTGTCCTTTCTGCTGCCTCATTGGAGACTGAAAATGATCAGGTCCAGCAAGGTCAGTTTTGTTGGAACATTTCCCTCGGGGGGGTTTGAGAAGAGGTCTAAACAGGGTACTTTCCAATCCTGCAAACGCATGGTTTATCCAGAGGACATCTCCCAGTTGTTGTCTCAGACACTGAAAGCAATGTAATGCTTGTATGTTAGTTTTTTGTTTTTTTTTTTTAAACAGTATTACAGTAGATCGTCATCAGTGTTGTCAATGACAGAAAATACTCAAATTTTGCTATCATTAATGTGAAAGAAGTGATGAAATACTCAAATCCAGGCATTCTGTCATGTCCTCATCGGGTTAGCTTAGCTCTCTGTAAGGAAGCCTTTCTCCAGTTTCTCAAAAGCAAGTTGAAGGGGAAACGAATACGAACACAACACTGAACAAACTAGTGTGACTGTGTAATCTATGCTAGAATTGACAGTAACAAAGGCAGTATCATCTTGTTTTGGTAGCTGTATGTTAGCAACCCTGAAATTACACTGGAAACATGATGGAACAAGCAGCTGCTGCACTAGTGTTAATCAATTGTCCATGCTACACCAGAGAGGCAGCCTGGGAGGAGACATTACAAAGTGCTAGTGAACCCAGTAACCCTGGAAAGCGTTTTATGTTTTTGGACCTTATATAAACTCGCTCGATGTGTTTTCAAAAAGATTTCAATCCTTCCATCCATCGGTTTTCTTCACTGCTTATACAGTTCAGGGTCATGGGAGGATAGAAATTATTGTAGCTATCAAAGGATAGATGGCCATTGAAACTCACATTCACATTGTTGATTTTTAGCTCATACATCTGTCTGACCATGTGCCTGTTCACAATTCACAAGAATCACTGATATCAGCCTAAAGGCAAGACCAAGAGTCAAAAAACTACTTGTCACATACTATTTTTTTTAATATGTGCAATAAAATGATTGATAATGTGCTTTATAAGGGTTATAATTATAGCTACTTGAAGCAGATTTTCAATAATTAATCAATTAATCTGTGGATTTTTGTTTTGTAAAGACAAGCGCCATTTTAGTTTTAGTGTTTCAACTGACTGCATGACATTTGCATTCAAAGTGTGCAGTCCTTCCTCTGTATGTGCAGTCTTTCCTGTGCTAGGTGCTGCAGCCCACCAAAATGTTGCACCCACCTGTAGGTCTACCTGTAGCCAGGACCTAATTTGTCCTTAATTAATCTTAACAAACTCCATTTGCTTATGAAAGTCATTATGACTTCCACACAGCATCCAATAACAAAACTGTGCTCAGTGTAGATTCAGGGTATCTTTGCAGTTGTCATCACTGATAAAAGTAGTGGGAAAGTAGCAGATTTTTCTGTAAACGTTTAGTGATTTATGAAGAGGCAGGGAAACGGGGGCAAAGCAGGTTAAGTCAGGGTGAGGGGACTGGACGGTGCTTTTCTGTTACAGGCTTGTCTAACCTGGTTGGTGTGCAGTTGCTGTACCTTTACAACAACCTTGTTGCCAGTGCTCTGTAATGGACTGTCAGGTCTCCGCCCGCCCTCTTTAACTTTTCTATTTGTGTGTGTGTGTGTGTGTGTGTGTGTGTGTGTGTGTGTGTGTGTGTGTGTGTGTGTGTGTGTGTGTGTGTGTGTGTGAGAATACCTCAGGCTATGCCTTCTCTCATAATGCTGTGCCTAAGCTCAAAGGGCTGGACCCGTTGTCATACTGTCAGGATGCGAGCTAGTGAGCTATTTTTCATGGATATCTCTTACTTCCCTTTCCTTGCTCTCTCCCATCTTTAAAAACATCTTCTAAAGCTCTCATTGCTTTTTTCTTTCCTCTTCATCCTGCCGAGCTGCTCTTTGTGATTCTGCCCACCATTCCCTGCTCTCCAATTTCCGGATCAGCCTCAGTTCTTTTTTTTTTTTTTTTTTTTTTTTTTTTTTTTTTTTTTTTTTTTTTTTTAAATTTGCTTTTAAACTTATTCTCTTCCTCTTATTCTTTTTTTGATTTTCCCTTTCTTTCTCCTTATCAGATCACTATGATGTTCCCACGTAATTCCAAAGCTGTGACAGCTCAGAACAGCCACTAATATGGGAGACACTTGACAAACCACTACGCACGTTTCTTTCAGTTTGTCTTCAGTTCCTCTTTCACTCTCAGGTTATTCATTTCTCTCACGCCTCTCAATCTCTCATTCCATCTTTGGCCGGTGTAATCGTACTTCTGGGAACACTGAAGCATGACAATCCATTAGCAAGTAATGGAGTCCTGCTCTCTGCCGTGCGCTCTTGTTATTTTGGCTTCCACTTCCACTACTCCTTTGCACTCTCCCCTTCTTCCCTGTGCTGTCGTCATACAATGAACTATGTAGCGCTGAGTTTATGGGACGGCTTGCACAATATAGCCTGCTGCACAAGTGGTTATTCATGATTTTTCTCAGTGCGTGTTAAGCACAGATGAACACAGATTTAAATGCTGACATACACGTTGTCATTAGTTAAAGCTAATAAGATTAGCAGGGTGAGACAAAAGACTCCTTGTAGTGAGACATTGTAGTTTAATGTGCTGTGTAATGGTTGTTTCTGGAACATAGGTGCTATAGAAAGACACTATGGTGTACTGTGAAGCGCCGGATTTTGGTCATTGACATGAAGTTCAGCTTATATTAAGAATATTCTTAATATTTGATGATACCATTACTCTTTACAGCAGGTGCAGTTAAATACTTGGACATAGACACTGTACAGCCTGTTGCCTACAGTGCCTCCAGCCAATCCAGTGCAGCTACTTCCTCTTATTCCATTATTTCCAGTCAGATATGCAATACGTATCAAAAAGCACTGGGCTCCTTGCATATCTAGAGGAACTGCTCAGCCAGTCATGAAGCTCCTGATGCAGTTTATGTGCTGATGTTAATGCCAGAGGAGGTTTGGAACTTGACATTCAGCATCCCGTTTGCCACTGCATGGCTGAGATGCTGTGGTTGATATAACTTTGACTTTGCAATACTATCAGCAGCAGTTGGAAATGAGTACTTTGCATAAACTGTAACCCAGTCTCGACTGTTGGCTGCTGCCTTAGTGCCTTGAGGTGGTGGCCAGTGTGTCACGTGCTTGTCACTGTTTGTGGGTTAAAAAAAACAAACAAACCCCCAGATAAAAGAAGTTACTGACTGTCAGACAATAGCCAAAGGTTTTTAAGTGCATCTTTACACAAATGTGTTGCTGCTTTTACACTCTATATAGATGCTGGATTGGTATACTAAAGCACACCAGAAGGTTTCTGATAGCTTAAGTCGTATCTCTTAT